CCTGTATACGTATATAATGTATAATAATTGAAATGTGACTGTATTTTACAAACTATTAGTCCACTAAAACACAGCTAAGACAGGCCACTTTGTAAAGACTAACGGTCAGTTTTATATTATTGGATGCAGTAACATGAGTGCATATGCGCTACATCATTGTAACTTTTATTGTTAGTCAGGCAAGACTGGAAGGTCACTATAATAAAATAATAAAAAATATAAATGTATAATGTTATGAGATTTAAGCTATTTAGACTAAACATTTGTGTTATAATTTGTAGTCATTCTAGAACAAAAAAGCATAATTTCTATTTATTTCATAGTTTTTTCTGGTGGTTACGAGGTCGGTCAAATTGACAGACCCTGTATAGTTAGGTTACAGAAAATAACAGACAAAATATAAATTTTTACTGAAAACAAACATTTGAAATGTATTTAGGAGGTTTTAGAGATTACACAAATATTATTTGATTTTTTGGGAAACAAAGAATAGTTTTTTTAATCATAACATGAAAAGCTCGGACTAATAACGAAATAGACTCAATATTTTCTCAAATCTTTAGTAAAAATACTTCACTAAAAAATCTGATTTTTTGTGTACAAATGATTTGGAATCATTACTAAAAGTCTACCAAATTGTGTGAAGATACACATACAGCATTAAAAGTTAAATTATAAATACTTAACATGTGCAAATGTATATACAAACTTGTCAATTTTATACTGAGCCTGTCACAAAAAGAGTTAAAGGATAAAAAAAAAATTTTTTTTATTTGACATTTTACTGTCATATAGTAGGTTTGGGTGGTGCTTTGTAATTAAATATATTTAACTTTTGTTTAACATGGCTTTCATTTTAGAAGTTTCATATGCTTATGTAGATTTTATTAGTTTTACAATACTCAAAATATTTTAGTAGTTGCAAGACACTTCTCATTTAATGAGAAATGAAATGTGGTTGTAAGTTATACTTTTTAATTATAAAACATACTGTTTTATATTTATTTCAAAGAAATTGTTTATGAATGAATTACGAGAAGCACATAGTAAATCAGCCCAGGTAGAGTAGTTTAATGTAGTTACAGGAGGTTGTTAGAATTGACTATGCCTTGCTTTGATAAATTGTTAATTATTAGTATCATCAGTTGTCAAACTAAAACATTTTGAGCTGTTAGGCTCTTAAACTATCCATCTGCATACCTGACCTGTAGAAAAGCTACTTACACTGTTATGTTTTACTTACTGAGGTGGAAGTTGTGCATAGTTATTTGCCAGACAAACTTGACTGTTTCTGTACTTTTTATTTTTTAAACTACGTGTAGTTTGAACACTAACAGGATAAATATTGTACTGTATATGATATCATAAAGAACTTAAGATTTCATAGTAATTTGTTTTCCTCCAATACCTTGACTTCCAAGAACCTGTTTTTATGTTACATAACAAGTTTTTTCACTTACATGTGTATAGCTGATAGTTAAAGTTACAATAAAGTTGAAGCAGTGAAGTTAGGTAAGTAATTTTTTTAGTACTTTCTGAATGTCAGTAACTTGTTCAGGGATCGTTTGTGCTCGTGATTAGTTGGTAAGAAAAGTAAGACAATTACAAAATACCTGCATGTAAAGATCCAAGGTATATAGGTAAACACATCAACATACAACAGGTCAGCTTTTGAAACTTAATTTTTGTTCATTGTTGCTAGGGTGATTAAAAGACAAGCTTGTGCCCTTAGTGTTAATGACACAAGGTTGTTAGACAAAATGACAGAAGAGCTACTATGATGTTAGAAACTAATAATGTCTTTCAGATTCATGAAAAAGCTGTTAAATTAATTTACATGACGTGAACAACAGCTGCCACATTAACCCTCTCCAGACGGATCATGGGTCAAAGGCCATGTCATTTTGTTTGTTGACTCCCATTCAAAATTTTATTGAACTATTTCATGAATTTATGTCAATAAGTTTGGTATTTAACTGTAGATTATAAAATTCAAATTTTAATATTGTACATTATTTAATTCTTAATTTCAAAATAGATATTTAAAAAACAGTTAAATTATCAGTACCTAGTGTGTAAAATATTTTCATGAAGAGATAAATATAGAAGATACTATGTGGTTGATTGTTCTTAAGTTGAAAATTAAGAATAAGCAAGGTGGCAATTTAGCCCATCAAAGTCACCCTGCATCCAGTGGAAAAACAACTAACTACTATTAAGGGTAATTCTGTAAATAGAAGTTGAATTGGGCTTCAAAACTTGTTACATCTGACATTCAAGTTTCTGTTCCCATCTATATCATAATTGTACTCAGAATTCTTTAGCCACTACTGTCTAAGCTGGCATCAGTTTTTTTTATCACTTGAATCAAGTCACCTGCATGCAGTATTCTGAGGCTTCAACAAAGTCTTGTACAAGGTTCTAATGTCCTTCAATTTACATTCTCAGAATTTCTACGAATAAAGACCATAACTTTTTTATCTTTTTACTACAGCTCACAAATCAGTTGAAGACTGGGACCTGCATCAGTAATCACCATACTTTATGATGATTCACAGTAGTGATGTTCCTATCACACTTGAAGCAACTTCTTAACTCTGCTTGTCTCATTATTTAAACTTGTTGTACACGTTGAATTTTCAAGTTGATAAAACCTTCTTCACAAATTTTGCATTTTGTAGCATTTTTGTATCACCAGTGAATTTTGAAATTTTACATTCCTTCTTAAAGTAAAAAATGCAAGGTATCTTGGCTGTGACAGAATGTGAATAAAATATAAGCTTGCTTCTCTCAAACCATTTGATTAAGAAACATAAATATAACTAAGATATTGGTGTTTACTCAAACTTTGTAATTTAATGACATGGTAAAACAAATTCAAGCCTGTCATCTTTAAGTTTTATTGCTAAAGTCTGCCAGTTCTTAATTTTCAAGATTTTGTATGTTAGGACTCTCCTGTTTTATTTTTAAAAAAATTCTGATTTAACAGCTTGAGTTCTTTTGCTTTAAAGACAGTTTTGGAAAAGATATGTTGTTCTTGGCCTTTAGTAAAATTATTTTATTATTTAAGATAACTTCATACACATAATCAAATTCCTTAACTTGTTACTGATTTTACAGAATTTTTGTTTGTTTGGGTGTATTTTTTCAGTATTTTAATACCAGTATGAATCAGTTTATGACTGTTAATATTGTGTTTTAGTTAAAATATTTTTTATGTGGAGGCTTGACTGTAGTTCCTTTTCTTTTTTACTTATTTATAGGACAAGTTTAATTTCATTGGGTGAATGTTAAATTACTAAGCACTTGTTAATAAGTGATGTGTGAGATGTATTTATATTACTCTAAAAAGGGTCAAAAACTGAAATATAGTATTTAAAACATCTTGTAAATTTTATCAATTCAAAATACAGTAAATGAAAGTACTTGGAGAAACAGATTGCATTAAATGCATAAGCTCGTACAACCACACAAATTTAAAAAATCAACAGAAAATAATTTAAAGCTTATTCAGTACTGTTTCAGTTAAATACACATATTTTTAATTTTAAATATACTGTTTGCTGAAATGTTCAAAGTATGTTTGCTTTTTTGTACATAAACACTTCACATGAAATTGTTAATTAATATTTACGACTTTGAAGTTATACAGGTATTAACAGTACTTAGAATAATTCATATAGAGTATGCACTTTGTGGAAAATTATCACACAACTTTTTGAAAGTTAAATTTATTTTTAGATAATAATCGTGATGATATTAACAATTTTACTTGTTTAGTGGAATGTCCACTATCAGGTACAACAGGTTTAAATAAACCACTTCTCCATGTTATTTTGAACAGTTCAAAACTATTATACTTCTAAGGGACAAACCTCAATAGCTAAGTATCACACAGTTATATAGTTTCAAGGAAACATATTTTCAAATCTGTTGAGGGTTTTGGGGTATCTTCACATAAAATTTCAGTTTGAATTTGTTTCCAAAATCAGTGAAACACTAGCCTCTGAGGAGTACATTTTTATAGTTTTAAAACAGAGGTTTTATGTTGTAGAGGTATGATTCTTTTGCCATCCACAAACTTCCTGGTTTCAGACAAGTGTGACAACTTCACAAGGTTAATGTCTCGTTAATTATCATAAGCTAGACAAGAGGAAAAATATATAACAAATAAATTTCAAAATTTTAAGCACAGATGCATCTAAAGTGTTTTTTTTTTTTGACTGACATGCCACTTACTCAGTTTTCTTATTTTTAAAATACTGCATCAACCTATACTATGGTTTACAAAAAATATTTATATTTTTATTGTTGTTTTTAACTTCTTGTTTTCCAGTTCTTCACTAAAATGTAAATTTTTAATTAATCTCTAAAGCTTGTATTACTTTTATATTTTGCAGAAGGAAAATGTTTTGTATTGAAAAACTTTGATAATAACATTGGGTACATGTAGTCTTAAAAATTTATATGATTTGTGAAGTAAGTCCTGGCTTAAGTTCTGCTAATGGATGTACCTAAAATTTGTTTTCAAGGTCCCAGAAATTTCAGTTACTGATATTTAAGGCTCAAAATATAAAAAAAAGGACTCACATGATGATATTTAAAATAAAATAATAACAGTATATGATCAGTTGTTCCATTTTGTGTACTTCATTTGTTTAAAAGTATTGTTGTTTTATGGGGTAGAGGAAAGTTTTAGAACATTAATCTGAGAAAGTTTGAGAATGGTATAATTGACTTTTTAATAATAAACATTCTTCCTAAAGAAAGTTGTAGTTAAAGTATTTTCATGGTTTTCAGTATGTGTTCACAGTTTGAAAATAACCTGTATTAGCATTATTAACAATACAAAAGTTTTATTATTTGGTTAAACTCATCATAGCAATCACTATACTCTTGCATAGCACATGTAACAATATATCATTAGTGCGTGAACTGACGTATATGATGAATGTAACCTCATGCTTATCAGACATATTTGTTTTAATCTCTTCAAATAGATTCCAGCAACAGGAAAGAAGCTTCCAGTATGGGGAATGGAAGACAGCAAACCTGATGATGGAAAGGGGTTGTTTCTAGCTGACCAGTGGAGAGAGCCAGCCTGGAGCACTGGACACAACAGTGCCTCAGGTAGAGACCTCATGATTCCATTAGGTAAAACCCCCACTTCATTTATACTGTTGTTCCCTAAACACTTAGAAATGGTCCTCAAAAGCAATAAATATAAAGTCTCCATTTCAGATACATATAAAATCATGATCACTGTAAGAAGAGGGCCTGATATTAATTTGTGGATACCCTTGACACCAAATATTTGGGAGGGATGGTTGAAAATAAAATGTGTCTTTGGATCTGGAAGGAGTTTGAAGCATGTATCTTTTTCAGGGTGATTACATGGAACTTCATACACCTCCAGTTTGAACAATACGTTATATTGTTAGTGTTATGGTTTAAGGGTTTAGTGAGGTGTCTCTCTAAAAGATGTCTTCATTTCACTCAAGTTGTAAAAACACTGAAGTAGACAGTTGCTTGAAAAACTTAGTTTTACACCTAATGGAAAATCATGAAATAATGTTTTCAGTTTTGGCAAACAGATAAAATTGCAAAATATAGATACATTATAAAATGCACATTATGATAGCCAGATGTCACGAAGTTAAAGACCATTAATTTTATTTCACCAAACATTGTAGTGTGTATGTTCTAAATAATAATCTAAAATTCTTCATGTTCAATTATATATGATTGTATTGCTTAAGTTTCATGAATGATGTAATGTACTAAGTATTTCTTTTCTTATTTATAAGGTTAAATATAAATATATAGTGCTGTAGGAAGATTTTTGTGCAGTGATATTTCTTATTTCTTTAGGAATAAATTTCATAATCTCTGTACAAAACCATCATCTTTATACATCTTGTGATGTCACTAAACCCCTACGAGATATAAATACTGATGACTCCTATATATATATATATATATAAAATTACTATTTTTCTATTTCTAGTTATGTTTTTAATCTCCTCGGTTAGAGACTTTGTTGTCTCTGTTTGTAAAACTATAAGTGTTTTATATCTAGTGACATTCTTAAATCTATGAGGCATACATTTCATTATGTCTGTATGTAAAATTCCTAACTTTACACATGTACATGTAGTACCAACTCAAATATCAATTTAGTTTTTCTTTATAAAACTCCAACCCTCATAATTATGTTCCCTCATGCTTAAGACATTTCTTGTGAAGTAACATGGACAGAACTACAACCTTTGGAACATTCCTTCCTCAACTCTAATATACGGAAGTTGAGTATGTTTTAGCAAAACAATTTTTGGAGCCTCATTATATCAGTTAAGTCTTGTGTCACATATGGTTATGCTCTGTCTGATGACCTTACATCTTGACAATAGCTTCACAGCATAGTTTCTATTGCAAAAGGGACTGTTGTAAGGCTGTAATGATCAAACCACTCTCCTACTTAATAATTTCCAAGCACATGTTTCAACAGCTTGATTACACAGAAATCCAACAAGAGATGCAATAATTTATCATCATTTACACAAATCAAATGAAAGCAAAGCTATATTGTTCCAAAACATGTTTCCTGACAGTGAAACAGCAAAATGTATCATTTGAATTGTTTATGCAAGAGTAGATACTTAATTGGTGAGAAAAGCAGAAGGTTGTTAATTTAAAAATGGGGGGAATTTGCAAATTCTGCAACTCTTGTTTAAGCATTCAGTATACAATTTATATAGTTAATCAGAAATATTAACTCTGTATTTCAACAGATGGACCAAATGTCATTGTGACATTTTTTAAATTAAACTGTAAAAACAGATTTAAAATGGCACTGAAAATACATTACTGGAGATAGGAAGTTATAGTTTACATGTTTTACATGTCTGATTTCAAGATGGTTTGAGTAACCCTACTGACACGGTTCTTCCATTGGTCATGGGCCAAAGGCCATGTCATCACGTTTGTAGACTCGCATTCAAAATTTTATTGAACTATTTTATTGGAGATTATAATTCAAATTTCAGTATTATACCTTAGTTAATTTCTTAATTTAAAAGTCAATATTAAAAAAACAACAACCCCTAAATATCGTTTTTGTGTGTCACATGGTATGTTGAATGCTGCATTGGTTCAAATTAGATGTTTGTGATGTCCAAATACAAAATATGTAGTTTCTTATGAATTAGATATTAAAATTACCCATATTGACAAGCTAGAGTACAAGAACCTCCTATCTTTTCTATTCTCAGAAATATTTATATATTTATTGAATCAACCAAGGCAGTCCTGCCCAGTGAAGTGTTCATAACCAATTGAAAGCTCAGAGTGTCCCCCTAGTAGTTTTCTCAGTCTCTGTGAAGTATTTGTGCAGGAAACTCTTTCTTTTCATGCTAGATTTCAAGTAGTAAGGTAAGACATTAGTGAACTTAAAGAATCATATTTTTTTAGACCCAAATACAGCATATTTACTAAGCTTGATAAATTATAGTGGAATTCTGTGGTATTGATATAGTAATTTATGGTTTTTTGTTATTTCAAAATGCTGATATATATATAGAACCTTAAAAAATTTTCTTTTACATCCTCTATATGCAAAGCTTGATAAGGCAACTTATAGCAAGCAGGAAATGAGTACGAAGTTTGTAACTAGAAGAGATAATTGTTTTCTATACTATTTTTATTTACTGTTCTATGTTTTAAGAAAAACAACTGAAATTTAAGAACTTATTAGTAACTAGTAATAATGTATTATAACTGAAATGTGACTGTATTTTACAAAATACCACATTAGAACACAGCTAAGACAGGTTGCTTTGTAAAGGCCAATTTTTATATTCTTGGATACAGTTACATAATTGCATGTGCGCCATTTCATTGTAACTTCTATAAGTTAGGCATGACTGAAAGACTCAATAAATAATAATATTAT